TTTTTTTTTTTAATTTCTTTGGAGATACCATTGAGATTTGAAAAAAATGGTTTTATTATGTACATTTTTTAATTTGGGTCTTATCAATTATTTAAAAATGATTTTTTTTTAAGTTGATTTTTATACAATGCTTTAGGTTACAAAATATGAAAGATCGTCAAATTTTGTACAGAGAAACGTACTCAAATAATAATTACAATATTCCTGTGTGGGTGTTTCGGTTTATTTAATTGGTTATACTTATGGATTTTCAAAACAAATTTTCGTGCCAAGTGGCTTTTTTTAAGGATTCTTATTAAGTAACAGTGTAATAAGGTTTGAATTTTACTGCCTTGATATTTTTATCTCAATTTTACTAATTTTTCAAAACTGATTATTTAGTAAGAATTAATTGCTTAGCTTTTAACTGCCAATCGGAAATATGTGATGTCAGAAAATCTAGAAAAAATTGTACTTTCTATCAAGAAACATATTTAGTTAGGATTATAAGAAATCGCGGGTGGGTGTGGATTTATTCATTCCCAGGACCTATTTTTATGCAATGTTGCTATTTTTTATTGTCATCTTAACATAAAAATAATAATTACTATAACATTACAATTAGCTTATACCTTTTAACAATTAAAACCAAAGAAAAGAGTTAGAAAACTGTATAACATCATTTAATTACATATTAAATTAACATCACTTAAAAAAAAAAAAAAAAAAAAAATTAGTGAATAAACGTATGGAAGCTTGGTGTTAATAAACTACTAGCAGTTTAATTTTTTTAATTTCCAAGTAATTAAATATAAAAGCTTATTAATAAAGTGAAGAAATCATTTTGCAACAAGCTTTCAAGTCCTGATGATATTTTTAAATCTTAAGCGTTTATCAAAGCATATGATGTAATATAATGAAGAATACCAGAGTCTCTATTACAAGTCAGTTAGAAAATTCACTGACATCACTGTTCAATCGACAATATTCTGTTATTTTGCTGAGCATATTCATAATATTGTACTAGTTTATCAAATTCCGTTGAATTATACAGTGCTCGATAAAAAAGTAGGCGAACAAAGGACATTGCGATAGCAAGATTTCTCACTCCACGATCCATGCAATGTTAAATATAATTGATATCCCAATGGTATATGTTTATTTTTGAATTATTAAACGGCAAAGTCTATCAATAATCACGAGGTGGAAAGATAATTGAGATCTCCAAGCAATTATGAAACAACATTATGAAACACAAATATCCATTCGACACGTAATTTCACAAGGCTCTGGTAACGAGTGAAAACCCAAGTGAAAAGTACATGTTGTTTCTATAATCAGCCGGTCGAGCAACAACGACTTTACAAAGCCAGCCGTCGGGCAAACGAGACGTTAACTATTCTTCGAGAAAAAGAAAATTATGCAAATTATTACCACGTTGGTGGTGAGCATATTCCGCAACCGGTGGATTATGAAGGCGAGACCGATTTCCCACTCGCGAGACGATTAAGTGGATAACGATTTTCACCCAACAGTGATCTCTTCTTCGCGCTTCTCCCCAATTGTCATTTTTTTTTTTTCGACAAGCCTTACAAGGGATCCAAATGACGTCTGCATGCAGAAATCGCGAGATGATAAAGCGATCGTAGAACGCTCGTGGGGCGGAGAACCGGCTCTCGCATGTTTGCCGTTGGGCGTCGTTACTTCATTGTGCGTGACGAGTAAGTTTTGCAAAAAACAATAGACTCTGCGGTTCGTAACCTACAGTACATTGGTGGAGTATTGAACTGACACATTTTATTTTTTTATGTTTTTTCAAACTTTTTTTTCATCATCAAGATGTCGGAGGTGCAGTTTTCTTTGAGTTTTAGTTTTATTACTAGGTCATATGTGAGGGTTTCAGTTTTAATTGAGTTCATCGTACAAAACTAATTCTCAATATTTTGTAAAAACCATGGATTAAACAGTCCAAGTTGATTCATTGCCAATAATGGTTTCGTAAAAATTGTTACCACGTATGAAGTAACTGTTAAGTACGGGGAAGAAATTTTTATTATTAAGGAAAAACAGTAGGAACAGTTTACATTATTTGTGTAAATAATCTCTATGAACGAATTTTCAAGTAAGACCATCTCAAGCCTAATTCACATCCAATCAGGCTCAAACTTTATAAATTTGGATGGTTTAAAACTGAATTGGTTTCATCTAAGAGATACCAACTCAAAAGCATTGATGAAAAAGCCTATTGTCTGACCATGGTATTAAAAACTGACATTCAACACAAGTGTGTTTTGGGAAAAAGTTGTATGGAAATTTTTTTGATGAACAACTTATTTTGTATTGTACCCGTGACCATTGATATAATTATTATTTATGTCAGACGTTAGAGCCCCTACACAACATCTAACCCCAAATGCACCAGTATCTTTAAGATTCCACCGAGAGGCTTCTCACTCTTGAAGTCATAAATAAAAGACTTTATAAGTCATTCAAAGTCTGTTAAAGACTTCAAAAATCTCCAAAAGACTTCAGACGTTTTATCAGGACTTCAAGGGTGGCTATAACTTGAACTTATTGAAAAAAGACTTCATAAGTCATTCAAAGTCTTTCAAAGACATGAAAGTGCGCAGCTCCTTGGATTACACGACATGGTTACGTAAATGTGTGCATAAATAATATGTACCCCAGTAATATTGTACACTCGAGGCACTGTATATCTGTGGGAACGATAAAAAATATTACCTGTTAAGTGACGGTAAGTCTTTATTATAATATAGGTTGCAGGACATCATTGACTGTGTGTAGACAAATCGTTCCGACAGATGTAAAGTGCCTCGGGTGTACCTAATTGAGGCAATAAGCCCAGGATTTGTCGAAAAAAAAGCGAATACGCACCTTGTCCCTCAGCTGCATACTCGTCGGCTCCGTACTTGTATGCCCTAGCCTCGGCAGCTGCGAGCTCCTGGAGCCTGGCAGCTTTCAGCGCCGCAACCTCAGGCGTGTCCAAGACAGTGCCATCCTCGGCGAGGGGTGCGGGCACGAAGGGAGCCTTAGGTCCGGTTGGGACCGGGAAGCCCTTTGGCTCGGGGGCAAAGTGGGCAGGCTGGTGGTAGGAAGGGGGCGGGGCGGGCTGAGGGTGGTAAGCAGTTGGGGCACCAGGGTAGCTGGCCCTGGCGAAGGATGGGGCTGGGGGTCCTGGATAGGGGGCGAACGCGGGCTGGCGGGCTGGGGCGGCCGGCTGGTACTGGGGCACGTATGCGCCGTTGTCATTGCTCTTGTCCTCGGCAGCTCGGGCGGCCGCGCGAGCAAACTCCGCAAAGTGCGCAACCTTGGCCTCGGCCACCTCGGGCGTGTCGACCACGACGCCGTCTCGGCCCACGGGTGCTGATGGTGCCGTGGGCGAGGCGTAGTGGGCCGGTGATGGCGCGCCCGGGTATGCGCCTGGGTATTGGGCCTGGCTGGCTGCTATCAGGCAGGAGAGGAGTATCTGTGGAAGAGATTTTTTGTTGCTGTGTGATTGCTATTGCAACGGGATCAGGGGTCAAGAGAGAGATTTTGTTTGACGTTGTCTCGAATCGTAAAAGTAGTTTCCTAATTAAGAGTGACCCAATAGTCTCGTAATACAATATTATGGATATTAATTAATTAACCACTCAATTTGAGTAATCAATAAACTTCCTCCTTAGGATCCCACTGTATACCAATTTTACAAATAATTGCCAGAAATATGAGTCCAATAGAGGATGAGGAAACTAAATGGTTGATTAGTTAGTGAAAAAATGGATGGCAAAATTGTAGTCAAGAAATAATTTTCTTTGAAATTATTAAAAGTATTTGCAACAACGTACTATTAGAAAAAAAAAGTATTCGTTTACAGTGATGTGGAAATTTAAGTTTTTTAAAAACTGCGGTGATTAGAAATTTAAGATCCAAAATTGAAGCTACATGGTTGTACTGAAAATATCTTAGTCACTAGAACGTATGATTTTCAATCAGTGTGTAAATAAGTTCAAGACTTTTCATTCTGTTCCCAAATGTTTAGTTGTGTAAAAAAAAAAGTCCGTATTACCCGTTACATCCACGCAAATAAATAAAGTAGAAATCGATAATTTGGTCCAGTTGTGGCATCTATCTTTTTTTTTATTCATCAATTTAGTTAGTCATCTATTCACATAGCGTTAGAGCACACTTTATACCGATTCGCCTTCAATAATCAAAAGTGCGCGTACTAATGACCCTTCCAAATTTCGGTACGGTAGACGAGTATTTACGTAAGTCCAAGATCGCGTGAGAAAACAAAAATCCTCTAAGCGCCAAAGCAACACCACTTCAGACAATTCAGAAGCCCGTGCGCGTGAGTAACGATGCCTGAAACTACCGATTATAAGGCATTCACTTTCAAATCGATCCTCAATCCCGTAACGATCAAGCTGCTCTTTGACTCGGTAATTGCCGATTACTTAGCCTTGCAGCCGCGAGAAAGCTACCGCCGTGTAGTTGCAGCCTGTCGCAACCCGTTGCAAAATCCACTTGGGTGCACGTATTGTTCGGAGATTCGAGCTTATCTTGAATTTCTTCTTTTCCTTTAGCCGTAGCAAAATCAGGCAAAAGGCTCGGAATACTTTTCCAGTGGAAGGAAAAAAAATAGAAAAAAAAAAAAAAAAACAATGCCAGTGACATTGCATCTGAAACAACTGCCCTGCGCTGATTTATAGCCGCCGATAACATAATAAGGGTAAGAGCGAATATGGAAATGGCGCCACGCAGATTACGGTCGATAATACGGCACTCACGAGCGCGCGCCGCACGCCAAGATACGATCGGTGTATTTGAATACGGTGGGGGAGGAAAAATTCCTCCGGTGGGTAAAACCGTATAAGCACGAGTCCGGCCCCCGCGAAAAAACGGTACATTCGTTGATGTACTGCTCCGTTGATTACTCAATAACCGCGGCGATTGTCCGTCCGTCTATCCGGGAGTGGTGGGCGCGACAAAGAATAGACAGCTCCAACGCACCAAATGTGTATGATCCACGCCCCGTGTGCATAACTCGCCTCGCAGAATATATGCGGCCCCGTAGGCGTCGTCGCGCGCGAGAGGTCTATGACAGGTTGATCCCGTCCGCGTACAAAAGCCCGAGAATTCAATCGCGTACCACGAATACACGAATGGAATTTACGTTTCCTTCTGTTTTTTTTTTTTTTTTTTNTCAGATGAATGGGCAACTCAATGATAAATCGTCCGCGTAATGTGCGAGTTGTTGTGCCTCGAGTCGTAAAAATTTACTGATGCTCGATATTTTACGCGCAAGATAGTTGCAAAAATGCTTTCACACCCTGTAAATACGCAATGTAATTGATGTCTCTTACATTTCATGTACCTACACAATGATATGCATCCATGAAGCATATCAATGTCCGCGCGATTTATCTCTTGTGAAACGCGCGCGAAAAACCCGTGTCACGAGCAGCGGCGCTTTTACCATACCAGCGCACAATAGCAACGCCCGCCCGTGCGGTCCTTCGAGGAAACTTGGCGAGGGGGTGGGGGGAGAGAACAGCGTGGTCGGTTCCGTAATCGACTCCATAAATAAATAATCACCACGCAGATAAGCCTGAAAAATGTTCATTTTTTTTTCTTTTTCTTTCCAAGATCCTTTGGACTCGCGTTGTCGTTCCGCGGCGGTGGATAGTCGATTGCGCAATCATCTCAATACACGCCATGGGTGGGGCAAGGAAAGCTTGTCATTGCGACTAGGGTCTTGTTTTTTAATTAATCCCCATCGCGAGATATATGTCTTGGACAACTCGTAGCTTACGAGCTTTCCATGCCGGCAAATCCAATGGAAAATGAAAAGCAAATCGGTTCGCGGTGCATGTTTGTTATCACGGGGTAAGGTCGATTTTTATCTTTCGGGCAACGTGACCATGGTGTATATCTGACAACGTGACTGGATAAACTTTGTGGTGTATAAACGCGTACGAGCGCGAAAGTAGTAACATCCGAGTACGGACAGACACGTTGGGACGAGGGAAATACAGGAGCGCGACGTTTCTACTTTTACTTTTCTGGGACTCGAGCTCTACGGGGATTCCCCGCATTGTGTCAATCACACCGGTAGTAAGCCACCGTTTTCTTTTTTTTTCTTTTTTTTTTTTTTTTTTTTTGTNGGTGACAATGTTTATAATTCATTACATCCAGGCTACTCAGTATTAACAACGTTCAACGAAACAACAAGCAGTTTACGCATTTATAATATTTCAACCGTCAATTATGGCATTTATTCGCTATGCGCCTATGTCAGGTGGCGCCGTCGAGTGAGAGAAATTTTCCCTCGCCAAAATCGCCAGAATTCATGGAGCCTTATAGGAAAGCTTTTTAATAAGTTAAAAAAAAGTTATTAAGAGTGAATTGACCAGATGAATCAGTGATTTAAGTGTGTATTGTGTTAGTGTACAGTAATAAGTTTTGGTTGGTGTTGCCATATGTACTACAAGATTGGAAAAAATAAAAACATGGATTGCGACTGTGCTAACACAACATATATATGTGTATACACAGGCTTGCACTTGTATGGAGCTTGAGAAACACAAGTACTGCTTACATTCATCTATTTCTCACAACACAGTGTTCAATAAAATTTAATACTAATGACAGGTTAGGTTAACTTGTACACATTTATACTACGTTTCCATGGATTACTTGTGTTTTTTTAGCTTTACATAAGTATAAGCACGTATATGCACTCAAATATGCTGTGTTCTCATAGTCGCAATCCATATTTTCATTTTTTCCAATCTTGTAGTACACATGGCAACACCAAACAAAATTTATTACTGTACACTAACATAAGACACACTCTAATCACTGACTCATTTGGTCAATTCACTCTTAATGACCTTCTTTATAATTTATTGAAAAATTTTCCTATAAGACTCGATGCATTCTGGCGATCTTAGCGAGGGACAATTTCTCTCACTCAATGGCCCCACCTGACATAGGCGCATAGCGAATAACTAACAGCTAAAAATGTTGCCAGAGAAAAGAACATAAGTTCTTGGTATACCATATACTTATTTTTGACACTTGAAGATTNTTGTATTTAATTTGTTTTTTTTTCTCTTTTTTTTTTTTTTTTTTTTTTTTTTTTTTTTTTTTTGTAGATAAGCAAAAACGTGCTGCCTGAGGGACAAAACCACAAGCGCCAAGAAAAACGGGACACGCGATTCGATTGATCGGAAAAGCTTCCAAGCCACACCGGGCGGGGCCCATTATGTAGTGTACACGCGTGACCCGTTAGAACCCGACCGCGTATACAAAAGGGAGTCCAGGACCCCGTAACGCGTACGTTTTACGCTCGATCGGCGTAACCTTTCACTTTCCTTTGTTCGAAAATCTCTCGGCTGCACACACGTGCTTATGCCACGCCGTGTTCTCCGTTCAACGTTCCCACAACCGCAATTTTTATAGTGTTAATAACAATGGAATTGACATTTGTAATATGAAAAAAAAAAAACTCACCAATGCGTACATGGCGAAGCTACGTGAAAAACGTCTCGTTTCGGGATAAGAGGAAGAGAAAAAGAATCCCAGAGTGGCTCAACGAAGATCAGCTCCTCTCCTGCGGGGCCTCCGATAGCACAAAAAACCCGGGGATGGGTAAAACAAAAAAACAACAACAAGCACACGAACGTCGTCGACGCGGCGCTCGCGCTTCCCAGTGGTGGTTTGTGCCAGTCCTCACTCGGGGAGTCCCATTTATAAGTCAGTCGGTCCCTCTTTCTCTCTCTCCCTCGAAGTGTGTGTACACACCACCCTCCGCCGCGCCCCTCCGGGACTCGACTCTTTCCCTTTTTTTTGCGTGCGAAGCAGGGCTCCCTCTCTCTCTCTGGCGGCCCGCGCGCGGTTTTCCCGTCCTTTTGTCGAGGGAAAGAGAGGACTCGCTCCTTTCCTTCTCCCTCCACCGCACTTGATCGCCTTCGCGCCGAGCCCGATCGACTCGTTTCCCATACACGCACACACGCCGGGTGTACATGTGCGCTGCGATGTGGCCTTGTAACCTTGACACTTCCTCCTTCCTCCCTTTTCAGCCGCGCTCGGTGTCCCCCCCCCTCTGTCTCTTTGTTGCTTCCGTGTCGGTGGGTAACTCGTTACCGTGGAAAAATCGGGATGAGGTGCAACAAAGAGAGAGAGAGAGAGAGGGCTTACATCCTGTAGGGACCGATGTTGCGGTGGGTCCTTGATGTTGCTTCGGGCGTCTCGAGGATGAAGGTAACAAAAACGGATTTTTCGTCGCGACAAAAATCCAAAGCGTCGCAAACTATCATGACTTCGCTTTAAAATCCAAGTGTGTTAAAGTACATACGTTTAAAGCGTGTAATCAAAATTTCCGTTTTTATAAGATGCATTGTTGATGAACGTTTTAAGAACAACCATGTACTGATGCTTTGTAAACTATTTCACCTGCTTAATTAAACTAAACAATTTTTTTCTTGAACAATTGATATTAAAAGGCTGTAGAGATTAAAACGTTTGTGAGCCACCACTGTTTTCCTACATTGATTTTTCTCATTCAAATGTGTCCAATTTAACGGAAATGGTTAACCACTCGCTGAAACATGTAGCTTTGGTTGTCCTTAAAATTATCATCAACGCCACCCCAATGTGTTTCATAAAAAAACAAAAATTTTAACTACACACTTTAAACGTGTACTTTAACACGCTTGGATTTACAGTGTTTATTTGCGCGTGTGGGATACACGGTTGCAATGATTTGTCGGATTTTACATATGTGTGTACTGGTAGGCGACTCGTTTAATCATCGTGGGACCATTATTTAGCACTCGGCTCTCTATTGTATATCTCCGTGGCTGTCACCCGTGGAAACACGCACCCGAGAAATCCAGATATAGATTTCGCGTTTTATTTGGATCACGGGGGGGGGGGGTTGCGCAACACCGATGTTGGTCTATTGTGGACGCGGTCGACTTTTCTGCGCGAAATCTTACGAAAACGCGAGGGAAAGGTCTATGCGAACCGAGGAAAGACCGGGAATTTCTTTTATCGCCGATCGATGATGGGTGTATGGGTATAACACGGGGAGGTGGGTTGTAGGTGAAGAAACTTCTGGTTTTTGAATGGATTTTTATACCTAACTGGGGCTACCGTGTATGAAATACAAAAGAAATCAAGACTCCTTCATTCAAAAGCAATGATATTTCAATCGCACGCGTTACTTTTCACAAGATTTCGAAATAAGTGCCCACAACAAAAAGTTACAACAGGTCAGACATTTGAACGATTGTTTAGTTTAGTTTGTCCGACAACATCTTTGGTGGCACTACGAGTAATTTTTTACGTAAAAAGTAAACTTTTTTTCAAAACCACAAACAACAAATGCCTTTAATTTTGTTTCTTCTCGGATCAGTGGAATCTGCGTGTGAAAGATGTAGTGCGAACTCGCGCGTTTCGAGAACAAAAGATAATCGGTGCACGTTACACCAGAGTGTTGTTCATTACTTGCAGGTACTCATAATTACCAACGATAAATTGGCACGAGGAGAGGGAAAACAATGAAGGCGTTACGCGTTTGAAAAGAATTTTCGAAACAATCTGTTGTTCTCGTCAAAAATGCGGGAGTTTTTCGATCGCGCGAGGTAAGAGAAAGCGGTAAGTTTCATCAACGGCGATCGTTCAAGTGCATAATTACGTTATTTAACGGGGAGTGGACGGAATTTTTATTGCAAATCTAATGATCGCTTTTAAAAGTGACAATTCAAATAATTAGGAAACCATTCGGCAATTTCACGAAAATTGACAACACAACGATTTGCCACATGCTATCAGTTTTGTCATTGATATTCATGATTCGTTGGATGATCTTTAGAATGTCAATTCGTTCGCCATCGAAAGTTCGGCATTAGACACTTCACACTCGTGAAAGAGAAAGTATATACATGCGATCAGATGAATGGGCAACTCAATGATAAATCGTCCGCGTAATGTGCGAGTTGTTGTGCCTCGAGTCGTAAAAATTTACTGATGCTCGATATTTTACGCGCAAGATAGTTGCAAAAATGCTTTCACACCCTGTAAATACGCAATGTAATTGATGTCTCTTACATTTCATGTACCTACACAATGATATGCATCCATTCTTTGGTTACGCAATGGAGGCTTTTTGCGGGCATTTGTGCAACGGTGCGGTCGCCGCGTTCGAATTATGTCAGCGAGCGTGAAAAAAATACATTGTTCTCTTATACATATGCGTGCTTACATCGATATCCACGTGAAATACTTTCATAGAGAGAGAGAAAGAGAGAGTCACGACGATGCGGATATTTGTATGATTATGTAAATAGTCAGTAGACTTGCCTTGTATTCGTTGTTGTATGAGTTTTGGACGTATCAAGGCTCTTGTGGGTGTGAGGAGTGCTGCTACAAGGGTAAACATATTTTTATGACCCAGATTCAAAGGTAAGAAGATTAAAAATTCTAATCCTAAAAAACGTGGTCGTGTCAACTTGGAAATAATTTTAACTGCCTACTTTTCAAGAGAGTGACGACAGGTGTGTGTGTGTTTCCATTGTTACTTTATTCTGTGAAAAAGAAAGAATTTTTGGTTGAAACAGTTTTTCTGGAGAAATTATTTTTTCTTAAATTTAGTAAACAGTAAGTACTGCTGATTCGTTTGCGAGATAAGTACATTTAAAGGACACAAAGTATTTTTAACCATATTATATTCATTTATTAATTTGGAACTTTAAAGTAATCTACTTGAAAGTTACTAATGCCATCAAATACGCAACCGCTTAGGTTCCAAGTTATCAAAACGTTCAGGGCGAACCAGCTTAATTACTTTTCAACAAATCACAAACACATATCAATACACAATGATAAGCAGAGCATAGTCACCCCGTACTATCTCTAAGTACTGTGTGTACAGTCATTGATTTTTCTGTTAATGTTTGACTACAAAGGCTTTGCTTCGGTAAATACATCGATATACTAGTAAATGAATTTTAAGATATTCGTTGCATTGACTTAGGTTATAAACAGATTCGGCCAAAGTCAGGCTTTTACTTTTCAAACCTCGGTTATTTATTTATTGTTAAAAGTACTACTGTGACGAGAGGGACACACCCTGCAGTGAACAATGTCGAGTGCTCGAGGTTGGAAGAACCCACTACCTCTTCTTCACTGGGGAAAACTACTCATTTTTCTTGTCACACTTGCAGGCATGTACAAGTATAAAACATACATTTTTTAATACATAACTGTGGTGGATTATTAGCTACCCAATAGTTAGTCTCACACTATAGTTTTGAAATATAACTAAAACTTTTGATTGTAATCATAATAAGGGGATCGTGCACTGGTACACTGCAACTTGGCTATTTAGTCATGATCAATGAAAATTTTGAATTTCAACAACCTTGAAGCCTCGATGGAGTTTTACGTAGTTTTTTTATATCGCTTCTCGAACCGTTTTTTGCCTGTAACAGAAATAAATTCGAATTCTACAACAAAGTGTTTAGTACAAAAATTTTCGAGCTAATAGTAAACTTTTTTATTTCGTAAGTGTTTTTCTCAAGTTCTTTTTTAACAAATTAATTGGAAAAAATAGTTTCAAAAGGGAAAAAATCGTTTTACATCATCCAATTTTTACACATTGCTTTTTTAAACAAAATGTCAAATACAAAAATTATAGATCTTCTAAAAATACACTTTTCGTACTGACCAATTTCACCTACAGTATTGATATAAAGATACTTAGTATTGAAAAACTTTTTGAAAAGGCTGAAAAACCGTTTCTTAGCACCTACGTTTTTTATTTTAAATTAAATGTTAGCATATTTGTATTGAAACTCAGTTGAATATGATGACAGAATATTATCAAAATTAAATCTTGTTATTTAAATACCTTTGGCTGTTATACCTTGTAAATTGCAAGACACAGTGTTTTGCATGAATTTAGCCGCTTACTCTACCTTTTTTCAGTAGCAAGTACTGGACCAGTTTAATTAAGAGCTCGAACTTTCATTTTGAGGTGGGGAACGTTTTTCTCAAAACACGTTCGCACTGCTGTTTTTCCAAAATTTTATTTTTCTCAACGAATACTTTTCTCAAAAAAAGTACTCTTTGAGTAGAGATTATACGTAATTTATTAAAAACATTATACCAAGCGTAATGTTATTTATTCATAAGATTACTTTAAAAATTTTTAGGCTGCCATGGATTTAAGCTTCAACTATATTCAAATGTAACAGAGTTACACATAAATGAAGGAGAAACTCTGAATATTACATGTGCCAGCAATGGCTACGTTAATTTTTATTTTCCCATTAATGACACATCAGGTACAGCAAATTAAATGACTTCAATACTTCATGGTTAATTGATTGTAAAAATATCCTTAAAAAAATTATAACTACTACATTTTGCAATAAAAAAAGACAACCTCTCAGGCTGTTATAATACCAGAAAACAGGAGCACCAACAAGATATTTATAAGATCAACCGTTGAGACACTGGTTGGTATGGTTGTGCTGATGAAAGCAAACAAATAACAAATATGATTTTTTAAAACCACTACGACCCAAAAGTCA